TACCCAGTCTTCCTAAGGATTTGTTTATCATTTATATACTTAAAAAATATCCCTGAAGTGTTAGTTATCTTTTATTACTGCAACTCATTCTTAAATGTTAATACCAAAGTACATTCAATAGCATATTGGGAATTGAGGATCCTAGGTAGTAAATATTGGTTCAAGAAAGTTTAGGGTCAAGAGAAGCACTTCCAAAGCACATTTTGGACTTAAATAAAATGTGTCTGAATTTTTGTGAAATAAATACTCTTGATATTATTTGAACCTAATAAGTAAAATAGGAACTCAGTTGCCCCTGGGAGTATACCAGTGAGCAATTTGTTGAGTAACATCAATCTAAAAATTCAGTGGCTTCAGACAACAAATATTTATTAATGTAATGCATGTGGGTTGAATGTGGGTCATCTGAGAGACAGTTGATGGGGACTGGATGCAGGTGATGTTGCCTGGCTTTCTCATGTGGCTGTGGGTTACCTAGGGACTCTGCTGTAGGTTGGGCTTGCAGGAAGCACCCAACCTAGTACAGAACTGTGTTCTGTCTCTCTCAACCTCCTGGCATTAGGTGACTTGCCGTAGTTTGTCCTTCTCATAGTGATGACCAAAGAGCAAAAGGGTGAGGAGAAACATGATTGACCACTTGAAGTTTAGAGTCAAAATTGTCACTTCCACATGATTATTTTGACTAAAGCAAATCACATATTCCAATCTTGTGCCAATGGTTGGAAAAATATGCTCTTATCATTTTGCAGAAGAACCTGTAAAATTATAAGGCAAAGGGCATGGATACCAGGAAAGGTAAAGGATTAGGGCAATTAATGAAAAAAATGGACCATTAAAGAAACAAGATAGGGTGCTTTTGCAAAAGGTTTTAATTTGGGAAGGTGTTTTCTGATCAATGCACAGAGGGGAAAGACTTATCCTGTAGTACCTTCTTCTAAGAAGAAAATGTAAGCCAGGCACAAAACTAAAGTTAGTGTGGACCAGTATTGACATGTAATTGCATTCTCATCACACAAAGCCATCTCATACCAAAAGCTCAGGTAAGTGACATTGTAAATACACATGCTTTATAGTTGAAAATTCAAGCTGAATGTTAGACTGAAATCATAACTTAACAGCTCCCTGTCCTCACCTCTAATTTCTAAACCTCAGCTGCTCCATTTTGATGTTTATTTTCTAAATTGGAATCAAACTATTTTGGTAAAGCCCATTTGACTTTGCCTACAACTACACGATTTCCCCACTGTATCAAAATCTTGGAGAAATCATTCTAAATGAAAAATTGAGATGAGATTTCACGCCCCCTACCTATAGACACATCCATTTCCTACTTCCAGTGCCACAGTCTGGCTGGGCACAAAATCACGAGCCACCACACAGCTTGTAGATTCAAACAGCAACTCTTTATTCCCGAACTCACACCAGCCGTCTACAATCACGTTCTGGGGAAATCCACGTTCTCTGCCCAAATCCACGTTCTCTGCCCAAATTCACCTCCACTGGGCTTCTATCTCCAAAATATACTGTCTGAATCCCGTGAGAACTCAAGGGGAACTCAGGCAGCAGGATATGCCCTATTCCCAGGAGGAATAATCTTAAACCTTAAACCTGGAACCTAAACTGGGAACGCCCTAAACACGATTATCTTAAAACCGGGAACACCCTAATCTGCCTTGGTCCTTGAGCAAGGTCACCTACATTCAATGTCGCTGCAACATGTCAGCAACATGGGGTACGCTGGCAAGGAAATTATCATACCTACTTGGCTAATGGCTCCCAGCATTCCAGTAGGAAGGGAGAGCAACCATGAGGCTGAAACAACGAAAACTTCCTCTCCACAGGGTTCCATTCCATGCAATGCCAGAAGTCACTGGGCAAAGATGTAAATTTCACTTCTTCTATGTTACAGAAACCTCATAAAAATTATACATCTAAACCTATACGTTTTTAAAATTGAACTCTGATAACATATATTACTGTTACCATCAGGAAAATATAGTGAGAACTGTGGTGATGACTGTGAATATTTGATATTTTGATACCTCGATTTTATAACATAAAAGAAAAACCAAATACAAGGGAGAATAACAAAGCGACTGCAGGCAACCATGTAATCACATTTCTCTGGAAACAGATTCATCAGTTAGGAATACGAGGAAAGATGGATCTGTTGTTTACATGATGCTTTTGCCAGTGTGACCCAAAATTCATCATCCCTTAAACAACTTCTATGCAATTGTTAAAAACAAAGTTCTACATTAAGAGAAATTATAAAAAATTTATTACTGTAAATGAGCCTACAAATGTTTAAAATAATAGTCTTTCCCCCTTGAAATCATATCCAATGGTAGGTTATGACTACTTGTCTGTCCATAAAAATCTAGTTTAAACTTGGTGTTAGGAAATTGTAATCAACCTAAGAAAAGAAACGAGCTGTCATTAAAAATCTCTAGAAGCCTCAAATTTCAGAGTAAAATGTTTTGGTAATGGTGTAGCATCCAAGGAATGACTCTACAGCATAGATATAAATCTTTTTTTTAACAGAAATATTCCATTTCCTTAATAAACCATTCCAAGGAAAGTGCTGTGAATTGATTTTCCAGCAGTAACTATATCCTATTTAACTATTAATGCGGTTTCCTTACTGGTGAGAATTCTCAGAATTATAGGGGGCTGTCCAACCTCCAACTGCTGTTTCTGTGGAAGTGAACTTCTCATATGTTATGTGAATCAAGCTGTCAATTTAAACTTCCATTTGAAGCTCAAATTATCCTGGCCTACCTGAGAAAGTAGAATCAGAAGGAAAATATTTATGAAAAGATGTGAGATTTCATTCTGATTATTTAGCTCCCAAATAGTACAAATAAAGTTGTAAGAGTTTTCAAATACAATTTTTATCAAAAACTTTACTTTCTGGAGACCATAGCCTCTGCTCTCTGATCATACAAGCTTTCTCAAGCATCTAATAACTTGGTTTGAGCCTTTATGATATTGAGCCCTCATTTGTTTCTTGATACTATAGAGTTTATAGTATCAAGAAATTTTATTATTTTATTGCAGCTATCTTCTGCAAAATGAAATTTTATTATTTTATTGCAACTATTCTTGCACCTATGAGACTTAGGGATTCATCCTGTCAAAGTGTCAGGAATATTTGTTACCCCTTAGCTTCTTCCTATTTGACAAATATTTTGTAGTCCTTCAAACAATTCCTTTTCTGATAAACAAATCTTGGGCCCCCATTCAAGAAAATGGGATAAAACATGCCCCTGTGTGTGTGCCTGTGTGCATGTGTATGCATATTATAGATGACTGAAGGTCTTTTCTCTCATTTGGCTGCTTAGCCATTGAAAATAAAACCTTCTCCAGAGATATATAATTAAAAGAGATAGGACGAATAGCATGAAAATGGAATCTGCTTTTAGGGTCATATGACCATATGTTCATCTTTTTCAATGAATATTTTTGCATGAGAAATTCATAAGAAAAAATGGGAGACAGAATTTTGGAAAAATAAATTGAATTGTAATGATGATAAGTAGGTGAACACAGAGTGCTGGGGAATAATGAGCTCTAGTTCTTTTTGGCTTCATATTTCCCCAATACAATATATTTTAAAAATATTTTTTATTAAGAAGCTTAGATAAGAAATATACTTCCTATGTTTTACTGAAGTATTTTCTGTTGGGAAAATGTGATGTTTGTAAGGTCAAAAACACTGCATTATTATTATTTTTGTTTGTTTGTTTTTGGTAGTGGGAATTTAACCCAGGGGCACTTAACCATTGAGCCACATCCGGCAGCCCCTTTTTATTTTGAGACAGGGTCTCACTAAATTTCTGAGACTGGTCTCAACTCGTGATCCTTCTGTTTCAGCCTCCCTCACAATTGTTGGGATTACAGGCATGCACCACTGTGCCCAGCTCCTGTACTAATTTTTAAAATGGGATTGATAGTTTGTACTTGATTCTTTATGTTTTTCAAAGCAATTTTGAGTCATGGCTTACCTGCCCCACACATCTGTGATTATAGACAAAGTTATTTGGATTATCTTCTTCTATGAAATGGGGAAACATCTTCTCAGGATATAGAGAGAAATTCAGTGAAGCAGTGCAAATTATAAATCAGTGCGGTTTCTGTCTCACTATGGGCATTTTAACATGTGATAGCAATATATTTGTGTTTAAAATGCAATATAGAATATGTATATATTATATATGTAATATACATATAGTAATAAAATGGCTAATGCATTTAGTCAACATACAGTTGGAAAATTTTGCAATATTGGCCTAGAAATGATTTAAACATCTTGGGATAATCCTTTATCCGCAGTATAACCAATTCACATGTCTAGTAATACTTTCTAATTTTATAAGTTAGGAAAAGGAACATTTTTTTTAGAGAAACTTTGGCAAATATAGCAGACTGGCACAAGGAATAAGATCTGGTTTGATATCAACATAGCTGCTTTGAAGTTATGAAGATTTTCTAAACCTCAGGTTTTCAGTTGTTAAGTGGAGAGTGCTCAGTACTACTTATAGTCATTAATGATTAAATTAGATATGATTAAATTGACATATAGTATGGGATCAATAAATATTTATTTCTACCTCTGATATGCACAACTAGCTTTACCTTGTTTTGAAGGGAAAACATTTCTGTGCAAGTTCATGTCTATGTAATTCCAAATTGTAATTTGAATGATGTGTTATTGACAAAAATCAAGAAATATGTAAGTGTCAGTCACAGGGCACACCCACAGTCACAGGGCACACCCACAATAAACACAATCATTGAAGAATGGTCCACCCTGCTGTAATCTGGGTGCTCATTGTGGGAGCCTATCTGATGTTGTAAGAGGGAACTGGTAATTTTACTTTTCTGCACTCCCTCTCCAGAGGGATGGACAGTAACAATTATTTTTTTCACTTTTTATGAAGGACAATCACTTTATATACAATCACTGATGCAGACAAGAGGCAGACAGCGGTGAGAGATATGTGAAGACATATTCCATTTTTATTATCTTTTAGGTATAGAAGGGTATGTTAATCCATTTCCACATACAATTCCTATAATCACGTATAGGGAGTGAATCTCAAACTGGTAAAACCTGTCTCTCTTCTGAAAGAGATAAATCGGAGAGGCCAGACTTGGGCAGTTGAGGACTGTGAATCCTCTTCTCCTATCGCTGTGTACATGGCTGCCATCACACACACGAGCTCTCCCCTTTCTCCAGGCACGATTCAGTGTAATAATGTTGTCCTCTTTTTCCTGGGAGACTTTCCGCTCTTGGTCCAGTGCTATGAGTTTCTCCTGTTCTTCTCTCTAGGTTCTACAGCTGTGTTTGGACTTAGTTAACCATTGCAAGTGGAAGCCAAGCCATAATTGTAGCATAACAATTTTTCTATTTCTAAATTTTCTCATTCTATTGTCATGTTGCTTTTTGTCTGCAAACATATCTTAGAAGTAAGACTTAAAACCTTTGATCTCCCACACCAAAATAAAAAGGAAAAAAAAAATATTAATATGGAAATGATTTCATTTTAGTGTTCATGGTTTGCTGTGGAAAGCAGGTGTTTAAAAATTTTAGAATTTCTTTAACAAAATTCTAAAGAGAAAAAAGAGAAAGAAATCACAGTATTTACAGAGATAACAGAATGGCTTAGCCATGCAAAACAAATAACTTTGGTTTTTCCCCTTTCACTTTGGTTTAAATATTGACCAAGATTCAATTTTTTTTCCTGCCAAATAAAACTTCAATAAATCAAAGTTTAGAGGCAAAATAACATTTTTTCCCATAATATTTTATACAGCATTGAGTCTAATAGAATATTTTATGTATTTAATCCATACCAATGCACTACAGGAAGCTTTTATTAAACTGAGTTACTATTGCTCAGACAATAAACGGCTTACAAATGTACAATAACATGTTTCTAAATAATGCAGAAGTCGCAAAATATTCCAAATCTCCATCTTCAATTATTTTTTCATTGCCTTCATAATTTTTTATTCTATGTCTCTAAAAAATAAACACCAGTTTTGCTTTTCCCCTTAAGGAACAGAGTTCTGTAAGTGGAAATCTAATGCTCATTTTTTTTTCAGTCAAACTTATGTAAATTATTGGACAAAAATGGCTGTGCAGTGTTCTCCCAGAAGCCAGGCTTCTGCCTGAAAGAGCAAAGTTTAAAAGTCTAGTCACAAGAAGCTATTAGCCCATATCCAGTCTACTTCAAAAAGTTTCCATTTATGCTAAGACCTTAAAAAGTTCCTCAAGCATAAAACATGTTTATAAAGTTACAAATTTGAATGTAACTAAAGATACATAGATATTTTATTATTACACTTTCATGTACTGATTGATAAATTATGTACCAGTTAAAAACACTAAATTATCTCAAGGTGCATTCAATATCTGTAGCGTAGTTAACAAAAACACACACGAAAAAAATATATATTCTATATTCTGTGGAAAATAACACAGCTTTGATAATGACCACTGTTAAAAATCTCCAATTCTGACTGATATCTTTTCTTTTAAAAGGAAATAGGTATAATTTTAAGGCAGTGGATAACCCAAAGGATTTAACACCGATATTTAATTACAGTGATTTACATTGTGATACATGAAAATGGGAATGTTGTCCATGATGTTTCCAAACAGTCTCTCACACGTTGGTTTGTTGATTCCTTTGACAGAAAATAATTTACTAGCAGGTGTCTCTAAAGGTAAGTGTTACCCAAATTCTGCATTATGTCTTTTTCAAAAAAGGCAAAATTGACAGTTTGGGAGTACTTTTATCATGCATATGTGTCTGAATGTGTCTGTGGTGGCTTCTGGGTGTCAGTGGGTGGCACACCCAGAATTAGCTCCCATGGTGTTTGTTAATCTGACTCTCTACCTCCCCTCCCTTGTGAAAAAAATCAGTCTTTGAATAGAGCAATGTGTGTGTCCCCAATCTTTACAAGCTGCCACCTTTGGGTTTTAGGTACTTGTGAGAAAGTTTGGGGCATAACTGATAGCAATCAGAATCAGAAATGTACCTGCTCAGATTATCCATATAAACAATTGAAATAAAAACATTACATTATACATCAGATTAACAGCAACTCCCAGAACAAAGCTTACAGTGTATAAAAATAGCTACGTAAAAAATTTACATAAAAGGCAAACCAAAAAGAAATCCTCAGTGCAGACATTTACAGAAAAAAAATTCAAACCAAACACAACATATGACCTATTATCATGGCTGCCAAAACTTGTTATTTTTTGTAATTTCATTTCATTGTTTTACTTGAGATAATTCTCTATAATCCTGTGACAGCTTGGTAGAATGAACTGCTTAATACTTGAACCATGAATCGCTGTCAATGTCTTTGTTTATGTCTTAAATACAATCCACGTTCATGCTTCAATTGGTCTATATGATTTTTTTTCTCTGAAACGAGGAAAAAACATAATTTGAATAAGTTACCATAGCAATCATTTTCTACCATCAACAGATGCTTTGTACTAAAAGTGATAGGCATTGCTCCACGAGGGGAATCTTTAAAGCTCCATTGTGCCTGAGCCCATCTGTAAACCCAGCCATTGCTATAGGCCTTTAATAAATTATCTTTTGGAATTGTTGAGAGTATGTGTGTTTTTTTTAATTGCTTAATTCATATGAAGATTAGAAGGTGTTTCAGGAAAAATATTTCATTCCATTTCTCTTCAGGTTAAGAAATATACTCATCCCTTGAAATCATACTCTAATTTGTGGGATTTGTCTTCAATTTTAATTTTCTGTTGAAAAATTGCTTAATTCATCTTGAAGAAAACAGAACATAAAATCTACACTAACCAAGATTTTGGAAAGAACCTTAGGTAGTAAGGGAAACTGTGAGGATGGTGTCCATTAGGCCAATGGAAGGCAGGGCAGGAGGAAGAATACAGTTCTGACTTATTTTAGCCAATAAGTCTGAGATTCTGGTTTTTAGATTTTAAAAATCAATCTCATTTCAAATATTCTATTTTTCTTTATTCTGTACATTCTTCCAAATACAATTATTTCCCATGCCCACTGTTTCTATGAGATTAATTCAAGTGAACCATTCAATTTGTGATGTTTTATTTATAAGGTACCCAAGACATATAGTAGTTGACAGGGCTTTTAATATTACATTAGTAAGCTACATGATGTTGTTATTAAGGACACATGAGATAAGTAGGCTAAATGACTCCTTTGGTTAACTCAAAAGAATATGAAAAGAAAACGTTTAAGTGGCAAGTGGCAATACCATGGAATCATGCTTCTTTTTGAGTCTGCCTTAAAAATTACACAAATATAGTGATTATATATAAATATGTGCAATATATGCAACATTAATGTATACATTATAAGTATAAGCACATACATGTATGTGATACAAGGATACTTGCATACATGCACACATAGGTTATCAGCTTTTTTATTAAAATTGTTTGGAAGATGGCTGTACAAATGTACTCCCACTTATATACTTATATTAAAATATTTATATTTTATATTGTTCTAATTGTTTTTGAAAGCAAATTTCAAGTACTACAAGTCTACTCTTATTGAACACAAATATCAACTTATTGAATAAAACTTCTTTGTACTAAGAAAAATTGGGGATATTAGAAAAAATTCAAATTGGATATAAAAATTTCAAAATAATTTTTATTATTCAAAAGATAATAATTATTTGGGGGAGGCTGAAGAGACAGATGAGATTCCATTCTTCTGCGTGTTGTGTGAGTAATCAAGATTCCCTTTGGAAAAATGCTCTTCCTGCTTTTGAAGTTGTAATTATGAAGCATCTGAAAGTCCAAACTTTTTCTTTCATCGCCAAAGAAGTTCTGCACTTTCCTAGGAACTATGTTTATAAACCTCATCCAGCCTACTCACCTGGACAACTAGAACCATTTCTCTCTTAGGCTTCTGTTTTATGATTGTTTTCTTCTAACTTTTTGTTTTCCTCCATATTACCAAGGTCCTTGTTTACATGTTTTGATGCAGTCCTATAAGAAAATTAAGTAAACATCATTACACTGACTAATTAAAAATTTTTATGGTTCAAATTAATGTATCTCTGAAAAGTAAATGAGTTATACACTAGCGACTAAGGAAAACAATTCCACTTTTGTGACTCCTTGACTGATAATAGAACATATTCCAGAAAATGCTAATTTGGGTTTCATAAATATATGATAAGAGAAAAAAATCAATTGTTTTGAAGACAGATTGTGCATATTGTGTTGGATCATAGTTGTAACTGGGTTATTTTTCTCTCTGCTTTCACGGAAGTAATTATTATCATTTGATAGTCAATATTTTCATTTTGGGCAAATATTTTCTGTAAAAATAGTCTGAGAAAGTTTCATTAAGGCCTTTTTCCATTTGATATTCCCTATCATACATCCCAGTTGTGCCAATGCCCTGTCTGTGTTTATAAATTCTGTTTTACCAAAGAAATCAAAAGCAAGATTATAGAGACTCAGTTTTACAGCATAACATGGGCAGGAAGCAGCTTAGATAGCCTTGATTGGATGGTTCTCAAGTTCTGGTTTCCAGACCTGCTGTATCAGCATCTAAAGGGAATTTGATAGAAATGTAAAATCTTAGCCCCAGGCCAGAAATACAGAAACAGAAACTCTGGAAAAAGGCTCTGAAAGACCTGATGCTTCTGCTGAAGTTTGGAAACCAGTATTCTAGTGGCCTTTATTGCTACACATGCCAAGATTCCATCCCTTCAGAATCAAAACCAGTTTTTCAATTTTACAGGTGAATTCCTTGATTTGGCATCCAACCAGGAGAAATCAGGTGATAACTATATTGCCAAGAATGCATCCTTTCCTTCTCCTTCCCTTCCTTCTCTGCATTTCAAAATAATACCACAATATAATTCCTAGTAATACTTCTACTTTTAAGAATTTAAGTCATAGAGGGTAGAAAATGCCATTTGTGCTCTAAAAGTATTTCTGTGCTTTAAATTGAATTACTTAATTAATTTTCTCAGAATTACTACTTTATTTGGGAAAGAGTTGTAATAGATATTATGATATATGTCCACACAAGATGGAAACATGGTTCATTCTAACTGGAACATTCATTATAGGTAGCACAAGTTGAATTTAATTTGTGATTTTAAAGTGCTTAATTTAGCTTAAACTGCACATTCTAAATCTATCCTAAGGCAGAAAAGCAACCTCAAACTCTGCCAACATGACCAAAGCCTATAATATATGATGACATTTGACAAGATAAAAGTTAAAAATCTAAAAGAGACAATGTAAGTTCAAGTCTATGCCTTGAGTTACGACATTATCACCTAGAAATTTTCCATTTTGTACTAAAATGGTAAATTACAATGACTGACAACTCTGTTTTCATTTGTGTATTTTTCAGGTAAATGAAAATATAATGAAGAACAATGTAGAATATATATTTATATATGTATATATACACATATATTTAAGATATAATTTCTTCTGCTAATAAATTATTTAATAAATCTTAGTAATTATAACCACAAAAGGTGGGGAGGTAGACTAGGATGAACTCTAAGATTTTCTATAAATCTATAAATCCTTGTAAACATTCTTTTGAAAAATAATATTTATATAAGGTAATGTGTTTATCATATAAGTAGAATTCAATGAATTTTCAAAAACTAGATGCATGTGTGTAAACAGAACTCAGCTTAAGAAACAGAATAGCTCCGAACTACCAGCTCCCAATGGTTAACAAAGCCTTAATTTTCATAGAATAGTTTTGTCCCTTCATTTATTTTATATATAAAATAGAATCCTACTACGCAGCTTCATTGATGTTTCCTTTTTTTTTTAAAAGCTCAACCTTAAATTTGTGCCACTCTTATATAATGGTGCATACATGTAGTTGTAGGGTTAAACCATAGGGTTTTTTTTAGTGATTTCACTGGTGCTGGGCATCTTGCTGTTTGTTCTTTCTGGGATTTCAATGGTACATAACCTAGCTATTTTACAGGTGCCCCAGATGTCTCTCATGCTTGTATTTAACTATTCTTTTTCCTCTGTATTTAAATCTGAGTTTTTCCCCATTAATCTTTATTACAGTTTACTTGTCTTATGTTTGTGAACAATGTTGTTCAATTTACCCAATAAAAAATCTTAGTTTTTAACATATTTTTCAGTTCAAAAATATCAACATGATTTTACAATCTTTTAAATATGATTTCAATTCTCTATTTCCTCATCTCTTAATCACCTTTTCTTCTATTTTACTTATACTTTATTGCCTATTGACTATAATATCCACATCATCCATTTGTCTGCTTCTCTTGTCTACTTTTACTTTTGATTATAGGTTGGCTTTTCTTTCTCTTTGCATAGCCAAACCTTTCTTAAATCTGAAATGACATATTTAAATGTTGTAGAGGCTCTACACAATGTTATTTTGCATTGGGTAAGGTCCTCCCACTTCCTTTGTTAAACAGACAAGGTGAGGGACTAATCATCCCAATTCAATCAGGGATTTAACTAGTCAATTGCAGTTGAAATAAGATTCAGTCCACCTTTGCTTTGCCTCTATTCTTACAGCACAAGTCTTTGGAACTTTATTTGAGATCTTGCATATATTCCTTTATTTTGTGCTAAAACACAGAAAAATTCAGTTTTTCCTTTCAATACCTCAGCTCCATTCTCCAGAGTCAAAATGTAGGCTCCTTGACTTGACCATAAACTGCTTGAGAACACGGGCCATATTTTATTTATATTTTACCCACGGCATATAGTACAATGATTGGAATATGGTAGGAACTAAAATATATATCTATTTTTCTACATTAACTAAACTCTCTTATTATTATCTATTTAATAAGATAATTATCTATTTCTTGTCTCCGTTCTTTATAAGTTAGCATTCATTAGTATGATATGAATATAGAACTAGATGCTTTTCTATAGATAGGTAGAAGGAACACTAAATTGAAATAACAGATCTTTTGTACTGTCTTACTCCAACCTTTAATATAGCACTATACAAAATTATATGCATAAACAGACTTTAATCAATATTATAATACTAATAGCTACTAGCTGTATATTAAAATAATACAAGCTTACAAGTCAATAAAATATATGCCAGTCAAAGAAAAATAAGATTTAGATTTTTTTTCTCCATCTTTCTTTATAAAAAACATGAAAAGGTATCTATTAAAACTGCTTAGGAATGGTGACTATTAGAAAGAAAAGGATGCCTCCCTTCTTTATATAAACAGGAAGAGATTATAAAAATGTACTGAGCAAGCAAAACTCAAGTAAATTATATCAGAGGTAGATGAGTTTTTCTCAAAGGTCTGGACTGTAACTATTCTGGGCTTGCAGGCCATATGATTTTTGTTCTAACTAGTTAACTCTGCCATTGTAGCATGAAAACAACATAGATTTTCCATAAAGAAATGAGCATAAGTGTGTTACAATAAAACTTTACTTGTAAAACTAGATAGCAGCTTGGGGATCACAGTTTGCTCACCCGTATTCTATGTAAGAGATGCACTTTAAATGTAAAGAAACAAATAATTGAAAATAAAACTATGAAAAAAGACATACATGTAAACATTAAGGATGAAATTCATGTGGCTGTTTTAGTATCAGAGAGTGTAAAATTTATTACAAGGCACATTAGGAATGATAACTAGAGGTGCTTCAAAATGATAAGACTTTTGATACCTAAGAAAGTCATATCAATTGAAAGTATTTGCACTTAACAAAAGCATAGGAAAAAACTGACATAAGAATAAAGAGAATAGGTAAATAAACAATTTAGTATCCTTTACTCATTAATTGATAGAAGAGTTAGGCCAAAATTTAGTAAGTGTGAATGTGATGAAATAATAAGTACTTGGCTAGTTCTCTAGCCAGGAACATGTCAAAATAAAATAAAATAATAAAATAATGGAAAAACTAAAATGAACATTTTCTGTCTTAGGACAGGTAGCAAAGCCACATAATTTCCAAGAGAAGAGAAACAAATGCACTGTACCCCATGATCACACAGGCTTTTTGCCTGGAGGTGCTGTCTGGATTTCAGTACCAAAAGGGGAACCCAAGCATAGTGCAGGGTTTTCATTATGTTGGAGAGGAAGCAATCAGTACTTGACCAGAATGAGGTGACAGGAATTGAAGAAGATAAGAGGAACTACGTAAAAAAAGAACATGAGAAATTTATGAGTTCACTTGATTCTTTCTCTGAATACTAAATTAGATATGCCATCCTAGTCAATTTTAAAACAAAGTTTTGAAAACATTAAGTTGATCCATAAGTTAGATATCAGTCAAAACCAAAATCAATGCACAACAATGACAAATTCCAATTTCCAGCATCCAAATAAAAAAGGAGAACTTTATGCTAAACATATTAGGACAATATGAACCATAGTTAGGTAAAAAAAAAATCAGCAAATATAAACACATCTACAAGTGATTAAATTAATAGAAAAATTATAATATAGATATTACAAAATTTATAAGAAATTAAAGGAAAACATGGATATAACAATAAGAGAAAGGAAAAAATGAAAATAAAGTCGAATCTCTATCACTGAGAAACAGGGATCAGAAATTATAAACTAAATGTATGGACTTGCTTAGCAGATCAAACATTGTAGGTGAAAATGAAGATATAACCATAGAAGTTATCAACATAGATGTAAACCCCAAGTCTTTCTTAGGTATCAATTGAAAAAGGTATAAACCTCAAGATTTTAAAAATTAATGAAGGCTTGGTGACCTGCAGAACCATTTAAAGTGGTCTACTCTTCATATATTAGGAGTCTCATCTAAAAAAGTCGGTAAAATATTTGAAGAAATAATTGCTTAAAATTTCCCAAGTTTTTAAAAAAGTAGTTTAAGAGATCATCTAATGATTTCTCATTAAAAATAGTCAAAGTAGGAGACAGTGGGACATCTCTAGAGTGCTCAATATTTAAAAAATGTCAACCTAGTATTTAAATTTAAAATTAAATTTAAAAATCTATGCC